ACCATTACGACCGCCCGGCTCGGCTTGCCAGTTACATTCTGTTATGTCGGCGTCGCGTCGAATACATGCATACACCGTTACCTCGTACGTTTTCCATTTAAATAATGTCTAAGCTAGGTGATATTCTGTATGAAAGACCTATTTGCAGGGTATAAGAAAGGAAAAATTTTAAAATTCTTTGTGGGTACTAAAAACTCTACGTGATTTTGGGTGTGGGAGGGGGTTAGACTTGAACGTCAACACGTATCATCGAGGGGGAGGGGGGTTAGTAAATGCTAAAAAATATCACATGATTGAACCGACCCTAACATATATGTGACCAATCAATTGATAAATTATTTTTTTTAATATTCTTTATACAAAATTAGAGGGATATATTTCAGACTGTACAAGGTATTCAACACTAGCAATTTAATATTTGATAAATTTGGTATTTCCATTTTGAATGCCAATGAAGAATAATGTAAACCCAAATATTTTATATAAACTCCGTTCAGTGAAGTTTGGGAAACATCTTTCGAGTTTCATGTAATGTGGGATTTATTATGATGAAATTCAGTTTCATTTAAGTTTCAATCCCATTATAAATGAGAATAACCAATATCATTATTACATTCACATTTCCAATCATTCACCTATTATTTATGAGGTTATTTTTTTCAACTGATTTTTGCAATCCTTACTTTATATAGGTAGATAATCATAAATCATCGTTGTTATATGCGGTTTGAATTTTTCAGTATCACAGAGGATAACCTGATAGAACCACCATCGAAATCAAAGCCGTCAAAAACTAGGACAAGAGCAAAATCTAAACTAGCAAGTAGAAAAAGTCAACCAGAGAATGAAAACGTAGTTGAAAAACCATCTACTGGAAACAGAAGAAGAAACAGGTATCTGTTACATAATTAAATATATTATTACTCATTCCTTTCAAATCAATATAGCCATCTTAAAACGTTTTCTGTTTCGCGCCAAATTGGATATTTTTGTACGAATACACAATTAATTTGGTACTTAGAGATACTACTAAGAGATATTGTATCTCAATTTTTCCCTCTCTATAGTTGAAAGTAAAACCTAATTAGGCATTTGTGAATATTTGCGTTCAGTTGAGATCAGCAATGCATTCGTGGCTCAGTCTAGCACCACTGATGAGACTCTTTGTGGGTTAAAACAACGCTGTCTGGTTTTGAATAACGAATGTTTTTCTTTGGCTTTGGTGTCATTACCATAACCTAATGAACCTAGAGAGTGTTAAAATTCTATTTTTGATTCCATTTTTTTATTTCAAGTTAACATTGAATTTTGAATATTTCATTTCATTGTTTTGAAAAAATATCGATCATTTGTTGAATTACTTGAAACTACAAGAGACTTTTTTGTGTCTTCGGCATCGACAACTATAGTTATCAGACTCGTATTGTGGGTTGGTTTTGTAATTGACTTCATGAGCCGCCTAGGGAGCATCGTGAATATTCGAATATATGTCAACCATGTAATAAAACATAATCAGAAAAACTTCCGCTGGGAAAATATTTGGTCGAAGGTGGAACGTAACTCACTATATTTAGCTCGTTTGTNATAATTCATTTAGGATAACGTCAAATGCAGCTAAAGAAGAAACTACTGAAAAGACTGTGGATGATTCTAAAAGCAGAAGAAAAATACGAAGGAAAAATTCTCGAGAACGTGAAGAGACCTCTAGTTACAGTAGTCTAAAAGTAGTTACGCCTAGCTATACTACCCCTGCTCCCCCATCAACACCAGATTTGAATGGAGGTACGTATGGACTTCATATATAAGAGCTTGAACAAGTTGCCGAATTTTATGTATAGGCTGTTATTTGAAAATTGAGTACTCAAAACCATCGACATGGATTTTTTTCGGAGTCGATTCATTATTATAACTTCTTTAACCCTTAAACGGGCAAAACTTCAATATTAATAAAAAACATAAAATTTGGATTTTTTTTAATGTAATGAAAAAAATGCATAATCGAATTTTTTTCGCCTCCACAGAAAAAAAATCAGAATGTGTTCCACAGGATACAATGCCCATTCATACGTTTCTCAGGTGGTAAATGGTGAAGCAGTTACGGGGACTATTTCCTGCCACGATACATAACCGTAGATTACATTTCTGACAAAAAACTGTTGTTTGGCCATTTGTGCAAAGTTTGCACTTCCCCTTCTCCACGAAAATCGGAAAATGTCCTACTTGGTCATATCTTATGTCATCTGTGGGTCTGGCACTCACAGGAACTCTAACTTTCTTGAATGGTTGCTCATTTTCAAGATCGGATTTTCGCATTTTCGTGATTTTTTCTGATTTTAGTAGTGCTAGAGCTATATGAAGTCGAAATGTTTTCAAATTGTCATGCTTTGTGTTACCGAAAGCTTCCATGTCTCTTCTGTAAATCAGCCAAGCATTATTGACACCAATGTCTATGAGTTGACTGAATATCCCTAAATACCATCTCCTTGATTTGTAAGGCGTTTTATATAGAACAATTAGCATATCAGCCAAATCAACTCCCCCATGTGGGTGTTGTACTGTTTTATAATTTGAGGACAATCTACACTAACTTTTTTCTTTTCCTCCTTACTATATCTTTTTACTTGAACTACTGGGCAATGAGATACACAAGAGCTGGCAAGCGTAACCCATTTGGTGTCTGCCCATTTCACTACTGCAATACCAGCTCCATTATCAACTTTATAGTCGAAACCGTACAAAATACAAAATAAAAGTAAAACCTGATAATTACACTATTTAGCCAATATTGTACTCACATCGTCGGCGTTTGTTGACGACGCCATCGCTACTCGATAATAAATTTGGATTATAAACTTCACCGCAGCGGCTCAGTCTTCCCCACCACGCCAACACGCTTTGATGCTTATGTACCTACCAGCTACCAGTATACATTGCCGGTTTCTCCATAACTGGCACACTATTTGCATTGAAAATTTCCAATACCATTGTATCCCATGAGATACGTTAGCCGATTAAGGGTTAATGTGTTGATTATTGGTCTATAGAACTTGACTTATCAAGTCATTTTGTTATCTTTTTTTACCTACAAAAATGTGATAAGAATCACATGTTGGTTACTGCCTTATTGATCAATCATATATTCTTCAAATTGTAGTAAGTGGTGTTTTCCAAATGTCTGGATTGGCTCTTCGCCTTTCATAGGCCATTAGAAGCTGTTGTTAGGCACTTAGTTACCTTAGCCTTTCACCTGATTTTCGGCTGTCGGTCCACAGTCCACCGATCCTGGTTTAGTATTTATCTGCCTAGTAGAGTGGAGGGGCGGACCGATATTGGGAGCGATGGTGAAGTTGGTAGTGAGAACGGAGTTTTGACTTGCAGAAGCGAGGTTTGCAATGTGACAGAAATGATCTCCATGAATGAGGTGATCTTTGTGAATCACCTTGTTTGTTGAGGCAGTCAGGACGTTTTTCAATTTCAATAGCTTCGCGGAGTATAATGGCCTGGAGAGTTTTTTCGGTGGCAATTGTTTCGGTGTTGTCGAAGCTTATTGTGTGACCTGTTTTTCATTTATGTTCGAGGAAGCATGAGGCTGGATATAATTTACAGACAGCAAGCTCATGTTCATAGGCTCTGTTGGAGACTCATCTGCTGGTCTGGCCGATGTAAGTTCTTGAGCGTGTGGAACATAGAATTTTGTATGTGCCCTGTGACTCATTGGGTATCGTGTCTTATGGTATTTGTAGAAAAGTGAAAATTTGATCGTTAGCTGTTCCTATATCGTACCTCTGCAGAATTCGGTTCACTTTGTCATGGAGATATCGATAAACAGTACCGAAAGAGTCATTTCAGAAGAAGTGGACCGTCTGAGTATCCCGAAATCAATTCCAACAATTAATTCCAATGAACCTTCCGGTACTGACGAGGAGCTACTACTCCGAAACCGGTCTATCGATGGTCATTCCGACCAAATGAAATCAATTCCAGCTTTTCACCTATAGGTAGGTACCTGCGGCAAATCTTCCAAATGGAAGACGTTGCACACATGCCTGATAATTTCTCTTCAGCTTTTTGCGCAGCATTAGCTGAGTACGTCATTTTCCATTGGGAATCTACTACACGTACCTACAAAGTCTCAGGTTCATATGGGTGACAATGGTGAGGTGTTTTCACCATTGATATGACATGACCTCGAAACATAGTTTGATTTCCATATATTGTAATCTATTGTAATTATTTCAATTTCATCAATAGTCTTTTCACCAACTGTTTTTTCAGCTTTCAAATGTGAAGATGAAGGTTTTTTCCCACATCCAATGGATTGCAAAAAATATTTCTGGTGCCTAAGCGGTGCAGGGGACTCTGGAATTGTTGCACATCAATTTACATGTCCAGCAGGTACGCCAAAATAAAAACCTATGAGCGAATGAAATTAACAATTATCTGAACATATTATTAATAAACGACTGGTGCCATTCAAGTTCATTTTTAAAATAAAGTGGATACTTGTTTAGATTTTTTTTGTGATACAACAAAGTTTTTTTCAGGCTTGTACTTCAATAAAGCCGCTGATTCATGTGACTACTCGCAAAATGTTCTATGCAACAAGAAATTGCAGAAAGCCAGCAAGTCAACCACATCTACTACTTCAACAACGCCGACTCCGACTATAGTATCCACTTCAAGGGTACCACCCAAAATCACTGCGGCAACTAGCAGAACTACATTCAGGCAGACTACAACTACAGAAGCATTCGATGAGGTAAGAAACTTTCACAATTAATGTCTTGAAGCAACTGGACACCTATCAAATCTGATGAATGAGTTCGTTCAGTACGACACTAAGAGAATTCGAACAGAAGAAATACCGAAAGGTACATAACACTATAATGAGATTTCTCACA